CATAAAAGTTATTGTTGGGATAGAAAAAAAGCAAATGATCATTACTATTACTATCATATCAAAAGTTTATAATACATATCTGTTGATATTCTTTTTACAAGCTTCTCAGTGAAATCAAGATTTGCTTTAAAGTTCAGGCATTTTGTCAGAATGGTTTTACTTCATCTCCATAAAAGATAACATTAATGAAAAGTAAACCATAATTTAAATGCTTCTATTGAATAAGACCTTCTTAGTAACTCAAATGCCTTAAGGGGATCATTTGCTACCCTTTTTTTTGTCTATTGTGGGGCTGGGCACTGTCCCTGAGCTCTTCAGCGCAAGGCAAAGTGCTCTACCACTTGAGCCACCACGCCACTTCCAGTTTTCTGGTGGCTAATTGGAGATAAGAGTCTAGACTTTCCTTCCCTGGCCTAGCTTTGAACCTCGATCCTCAGATCTCAGCCTCCTGAGTAGCTAGGATTACAGGCGTGAGCCACTGGCACTCGGCCATGTGCTACTTATATTCAGCTGGGCAATATTCAATCATTTGTGCAAGTAGAAGGTATTGGTCAGAGCTTCTAGAAAATTACTAGTAATTTGATTTAATATTTCTTTACATATGATTTTTAATTTGTCCTCTTCCTCTCCTTATTAATATAAATAAGACTTGAGACTTCAGACCAATACTCCCACAAAACATTATGAAAACTTGAACGTAGAAACTTCTCTCTGTTTACAGATAGTTGTTTCAAATTATTGATAGGCAGAATTTTAGTTTTTTTTCTTATTGGTAATACAATGATAATTGATTTTTTTATAAAGTAAATATTTTGAAATCATGATTTGAGTACAAATTCCACTAGCTTGTTGAGATGCAGATCACACATCTGAACTGCATGTATTTAAAGGATACAATCTGATTGGTTTTGACAAATATATGTGTTCACTGATGCTGTCGCCAAAATCTAGATCACAAGCGTGTCTGTCACTTCTAAGTCTCCTCTGTTGGGTAATCTTTTCCTGTTTCCTTTATGGTTTCCCTTCCCAGTGCTTTTTGGCACTGTAGATTCATTTGAATTTTCAAGAATTTCATGTAAATATGATCATATGCTACCCTGGCATTTTTCCTTCACAGCATATTTATTTGGTGATTTATCCATGCTGCCACTTATTTCTTTTTATCAAAGAGAAGTTTCCACTTGGATGTCTCAAAGGCTAGCCACATTTGACTTACTATCTTCCACAGGATCTCCAGATCTCCTCAGTCTCAGTGACCATCCACATAGGAATCTCATTCTTAGGCAAAAGTCAGCCTGGATGATGTCTCCCTTACTCTGCCCACATCCGGCCATCACAGTGCCCTACTGAAGGCCTTGTAAACATCGCTCCAATCCTCCCATCCCTGTGTTACCATGGCTGCCAGCCTACTCAGCGCTATTGTCATCTCTTTTCCAACTTGATTCAGAAAGCTTCCAGTGTCCACTTTTCATCTGATCATTTCCCCTAAATGATAGCTAAAGTGAGGGTTCTTTTTGTTTTGTTGTTGGTTGTGGGGCTTGAATTCAGAGCCTGGGCCCCATCGCTGAGTTTTTTCCCTTCAGGGCTACAAGAACTCTCTACCACTTTGAGCCAAAGCTCTACTTTGGGTTTTCTAGTGGTTAATTGGAGATAAGAGTCTTCTGGATTTTCCTGCCCTGGCTGACTTTAAACTCCAAGCCTTCTATCTCAGTCTCCTGAGTAGCTAGGATTACAGGAGTGAGCCACGAACACCCAGCTTCAAATATTTTTTAATGCTTTCTTTTTGCTCTTAGAATGAGAAAACAAATCTTTAACTTGGTCCACGTGATTTGACGTGATTTATCTCTACTAACTTTGTGTTGCAACTTGCCTGGAGCCAGATCATCGGATGAACTCAATCACTGACATACATTCCATTCCTAGTTCCTTCTACTGTTCCTCTATCTCTTTACCTCTACTGCAGTCCACTGAGGACTACTACTGGTTCTGCTTTGAACATGGTACCTTGAATTCAAACCCATCTCATCATCTCCACTGCTGGAATACTATTCAAAGCTGCCATCATTTTCATCTGGATTCATGCTATGGCCTAACCAGACTCCCTCTCTCCCTCTGGCCCATGCTCCCTCCCTCTCCCCTACTTTTTCTCACTTGCTCTATTCTATACACTTGCCAAACAGGCACCAGCCAGTATGATGGCTTATAACATAAATGAAATCATAAGCTTTGTTGCAAAAACCTCCTAATTACTTTGCAATTACAATCCAATCTAACACCGTCCACACCGACCCCAAACTCTCTTTGATCTGGTCCCTGCTCACCTCTGTCCTCATCTTCTTCTGGTCTCTTCCTCTTTCACCATACTCCAGTCATTCTGGCCCACTTTCTTTCTAACTGTCAGTGTTCATATCTTAGTATGTTTCATTTCTCTTCCTCCCTGTTGGAATGCCCGCCCAAGTCTTTGAATGGCTGTTCCTTCTCTTTACTTTGCCAAGAAGAATTCTCCCATCCCCCCAAGAAAGCCACTCTTTAAGCCATTGCTAGCTTTTGCTTTCTGTACAGCACTGTACATTCTGCTTGGGATCTTCCAATGGCTTTCCATCTTGTACACATCACAGTATTCACCATAGCCTGAAAGTCTACACACCATCTGTCCACGTTTCCTCTTTGAGCTTATCTCTCTGAGTCCCCCTGTTCTGCTTCCATCTACAAGTTCCCTCTCTGCTTTTCCAACATCTCAAAGGCCCGAGTTCCTAAATATTCTCATCCAAAGCTACAACATGACTTAACCACTCATGTCATTAGGTCTGGCTCTACTTATTAGATGTCTCTTTCTCAAAGGCCCTAATTGATATAGTAACTCTGTCCCTCCATCTGTCACTCTATCCTTTTCATTTCTCTACATAACATGTGAGCTACTACTTCAATTGACTGTCCTCTGCCAATTAGAATCTACTGTCTCCCAGTGCAGGAGTTCTATTTTCTTCATTATGGCTTATATCATTCTTAGAAGAGTGAGTGCTAGCCAGCAGCAAGTGACTCCTGCCTGTTACTCTAGCTACTCAGGAGTCTGAGCTCTGAGTTATCTTGGGTAGGAAAGTCCATGAAATTCTTATCTCCAAATAACCACCAGAGAACCACAAGTGGAAGTGTGATTCCAGTGGTAGAGCACTAGTCTTGATCAAGAAATAAAGTGACAGTTCCAGGACCATGCGTTCAGCCCCACATACTGCAGCAAGAAAATGAAGAAAGAAGAAAAATAGGCAGAGGGGTATTTAAAAAGTAAATTCTCATTAAAGAAACGGCCTATCTGAAATGACCTGATTCGCTTTTTGTGTCTGGTGTCTCTACCACTGTACCCCATTATTGCCTGAATACAGGTGCGTAGAGGAAAAGAAAAAAAATCCAATGTTTACAAACCGTAACTGATTTTAACTTCAGTGTTGGTCAGCAGCTATTTCTAGTCAGTCCTTTGATGTTAGAAATGGAGGGCCGGCATTCACATCATTTAAAAAAGAAAAAAAAAAACTCTGTGTGTGTGTGTGTGTGTGTGTGTGTGTGTGTGTGTGTGTGTGTGTGTGTGTGTGTGTGTGTGTGTACACCAGTTCTGGGATCTGAACTTTTTGTTCATGACTAACACTCTACCACTTGGGTGCAGTTCTACTTCTGGCTTTTTTGGAGAAGCTAATTGGAGATAAGAGTCTCACAGACATTCTTGTTCAGGCTGGCTTTGAACTCAGATCTTGGCATCCTGAGTATCTAGAAATACAGTTGAGAGCCACTAGTGCCTAGCTATTAATTTTTTGTTATTTATTTATTTTAATCTTTAATAGTTGTATACCTCACTGGATACTATGTTGTAAATGAACTCTACACTATGTTGTAAACTCTACAACTTATGAATGGGGTGGGAAGAAAAAACTGGGAGAGAGCGAGAGAAGGGGATGACATTATCCAAAACAGAAATGTACTCTTTAGCTTTATGATACCAATTTAAAAAAAAAAAAGTTTAATAGTGGTAGCCAGTCTCTAGTGGCTCATGGCTGAGATCTGAGGATCATAGTTGGAAGCCAGCCCAGGGAAGGAAAGTCCCATGAGACTCTTTTAAATCACAGAAAGGCTGGAAGTGGTACAGTGGCTCAAGTGGTAGAGTGTTAGCCTTGAGCAAAAAGGAGCCTAAGGGAAGCACCCAGGCCCAGAGTTCAAGCTCCACGACTGGCAAAAAAATAAAAAGCACATCAACTGAGCCATGACGCTCCGCTAACAGGTAAATATCTCCTTTCGACCTGTATGGCTGGTAGAAGTACCAATCCCCCATTCTTTCACCCCTTGCCCCAGGAAGAGCAGGCTGGACCGGTGGCCCTGGATGGAGGGCCCCCGCACCGCACCTGCCCCCTGCAGGCAGGGCGCGCACACCCACCGCGGCTGGCGGGAAGCCTTGCACAACCCTCCCGAAAGAGGAAGCCCAGGGACAGTTGAAGTAAACACTCGGGAAGATGTTGCAAAAGCCATCGGCTACTTTGCCTGCAGTGGGCCAATTGCTCGGCCCCAAGTCCCCACCCCACCCGCCCCCAGAGTCCCTCCTATGTAGAGGCCACCGGGCTGGATGGGCTGGCCTGGGGAGGCTGCTGAGCGCCCCTCACACCGCAGCTGGGAGAAGACCGGAGGGGAAGTCACCGATCCCCACCCCGCCAGGAATTAAAGAAAGGAAGGAAAAGTACAAAGTCTTCCTCCTTCGGGACGGGGATCCGTAGGGCATCCGTGGGCATGGCTGCGCCGGGGCGGGCAGCCCGTGCGCTCCCCGAGTCCTCCGGCCACGTGCTGGTGTCTGCCTGCTAACCCCGCTGCGCTGGGCGCCCCGGGGCCGGGCGCGAAGCCGCGTGGCGCGCGCCGGGAGGGCCTGACACCACTTCCTCCCCTAGGCGGGGACCCGGAGCCGGGGAGCGGCGAGTGCACAGCCCAGGCGCACCGCCTCGCCCGCGCCGCCGCCGCCCCGCCGCCCCGCGCCTCCTCCCCGCGGCCCCCCGGGCTCCGCACCGCCGTCGAGGTAAGCTGAGCCGCGGGATGGGAGGCGGGGAGCCGGTCCCCGACGGTGGATGGACACGTGGGCGCGTCCCCTCCCTGGTCCTCCAGGGCAGCGGGTCACCCTGCCCCCCCCCGCACACACTGGGGGTCCCCCTTGAATCTGACCCAGGTGGCGAGGGGCGGGGTGGGGGCGAAGAGGGGAGGATCGGGGAAGGGTGGCCACTCCAGTTCGCCCCCCACCCCCAGCCCCGCGTGGCTGACAAGTTTCCTGTCCAGGAAATGGCCATAAGATGGCACGGGAGGGGGCGGGGGGGGGTCGCTGATCAGAGGCCTGGGGCATCCAGCAGGACCCCCCGGACCCCCAAATCCGACTCAAGCTGGAAGAATCCCCAGGGGCGCTCTGAAGAGCAAAGTTAAAACTCCAGTCTTGTGAACTTTAAGAGGGGGAGCGCACTCAGGCGCACCTCCAAGCGCTTCCTTACTACTGTTACTACTATTGTTACCACTGTTGCTTTTAAAAAGAAGTTTCCCTCCCCCAAATCATCTTTTTCACTTGAGGGTGTGTTGGGGGTAAGTTTGAGCACCGTGTGGCAGTTTGGTTTGGCCTGAAGGTGGCAGGAGGCTTTTGTGGCATGGAGAAATGAACTAAGATGGCTGGGTCCCCCGGGGATCCCTAGGGTCCCCCCATCACCACCACCAAGGTCTCCCCCAAGTGATCTTTGTCCTCTGGGATGATACCACCTTAGAATCAGCTCTGGTGTGAGCCAGAGCCGCTGCCAGCACGGCTGTACCTAAGCAGCCCTTACCATGATAGTTAGAAATGGAGAAACAGGAAAGGAACGCAGAGAAGAGCAGGTGACTTTATTTGTCCAACCAGATTAAGATTTGGGCTGGAGTAATGCGGTTCCAATTTGTTTAGGGGCAATTTGCTTTGGGGGCAGAGGTACTTGACCCATTTGTAACTCCAGGCCTGCACCGGGGAAATTTTAGAAGGGAAACCTGGGCCTCCTGTACAAGCCAGGAGCTCAGCTTAACGTGGGGCCTCACGGAAGCCCGGGCAGGCTCTCTGTCCAAGGCGAGTACACGGGCAAGATTAGAAGGGAGCTGAGTAGAAACCCTATCGAAGGTCGTCCAGGAGGTGTTTGCTGTCTGTTCGGGGCGTTGTGTAAAGTCCAAGAAATGCATCTTCACCCTCAAACGATCACTGCTCCACGTTCACATCCTTCCTAATATGTGTGCCTTTTCCTGAGTATTTGGGAGACTTGGGTTCTGACTGGACAGAACACCCTTGATTAAATTGTGTTAACCTCCCTGGACTTCATATAACTCGTGAGTAACATGAGATTATTGGATTATGTCAAAATAGAGAAAATAATGGGACAGAGGATGCAGCTCAGTGGTAGAATGAGGCCCTTGAGTTCCATCCTGAACATTGCAATGAATAACATAAAATAAATATAAACTTTATGCACATATACATACATGAATAGTACACAAATAAAGACTAACAGATTTTCTTAAATTCAGCATTATATCTTTGAGGTCTTTTGGTTCTAACAAGTGCCACTAAAATTAGTCCTCTCCTAGCCTAAATGTAAGTTACCAACTTTCTATTACAAGCAGAAAACTACCACAGACCAATATTATATTTTAAATTTCCATATTTGCTACCATTTAAGAAATACAACTTTCAAAGATTATGGTTGTCTTAAACCTTGCACATAATACCTACTAGGTGTACATAACTATTTTTGTATTTTTATCACACTGAGAATGTATATACCAACTCTCTACTGTATTTTTTTTTTTGCCTTTTTCACTTGTAAGTTCAAGTTCTAGATACTGTCATGTTATTCACATGAGCTGGGTGTTTAATAAGTTCATTGTCATAAACATCTGTTTGATATGCTATGAGTTTTCTTTAAACCATTATGCTTTCAAATTACTATTTTTCACTCATATCTAATCTTCTTCTATTGTACTTGTTTTTATACCTAAAGCTTTTTTATTGTCTCCACAACATTTTAAAATAAATTGTTTGTGTTCTGTAGTGTATCAGACCACAATCTTTACAAGTTTCTGAGACTTCCTGAGTTTGTTCAATAGGCAATAAAATGCTCTTAGGCGTTTTCAAGATGGAGCAATTTAGAACAAAGAACTCAAGACAGAATTCATTCGTATTAATACAATGGATACTCTCCAATTGAAAACTAATGTGTTTTATATCAGTGCTGTCATGCTAAGCTACCAGTAATATAAAGTTGAAGCATTTATTATATATCCAGATTTATACTCAACATGACAATGTTAAGGTTTAAAGGGATTTGTTGGGGACATTTGTATACATTATAGTTGTCATGAGAAGCATGGCTTAGAGGAGAGTACATATGTGGGAAAGTAGAAATTGTATTTTCTTGGGAGAAGAGAGAATGAAGGAAAGAAATGGAGCCACTTACACTCAGCTTAAGAGACTAGCTGGCACTGTAGTCAGGTAGGGAAGGGTAAGGAAGGGAAGGGCAGGGCCTGAGGAATATACTACCACCACATTCTAGTTGCCTGGTCACATTCTGCTACCGCAGTCTGGGCTCAAAATATATTTGATATATCAATGCTGCTTCCATGTGACACCATTGAAATGTCTCCAGCTGCTGAAACCCAGCTAGCTGGCCTGTAGGCCCTAACCGTGAGGCAAGCGCAAACAAGATTTAACATCCCTCCAGGTGACCACACCTTCATGGTTGTGATCTGAAGCTTGAATTCCAATTTCCCAACATTTCCTAAACATCAATAAGGCACTAGAGTCACTGTTTTTAATAATTTTTGCATGAAATGAAATATGCACTTTTTGCAGCTCAGGTAGCTGGGGCACTTTTTCACTTGGAGAAGCTCGAGAAACTGTGTTGTGGGCCTGCATGTTGACTGTGGCTCCATCACAGGAGGCCATGTGTGGTCTAATCACCTGTGGCCTCAAGTGGGCACTCAGCAGTGTTTCAAGCTAGGCCCCAGTAGCTCAAGCTGGTAATCCTAGCTACTCAAGGAGCCTGAGGTCTGAGGAGTGTGGTTGGAATCCAGCCCAAGCAGGAAAGTCTGTGAGACCCTTATCTACAGTTCACCACTGAAAAAAACTGGGAGTGGTTCTGTGACTCAAGTGGTAGAGTGCTAGCCTTGGGAGAAAAAGCTAAATAAGAACATCAGGCCCTGAGCTCAAGCTTCAGTAGTAGCATGCGTGCACACAGGAACGCACGCACACACTTTGGATTTTGAATCTTCAGATGAGGGATATTTTACAGAAGGGTGTAGCAGCCGCTGTGCTAGTCTACGTGTGTGATTTTTAATCCTCACAGCTGAGTTTATACTGTTAGTATTCCCATTTCATTAGAGGAAATGAAACCACAGGGAAGTTAAGAAACTTTCTCAGGGAGTAAAATGCAGAGTAAACATTCAGTTGGGACAACGTGATACCCTGCCCAAGGTGCTTTATGAGGGTTAGAGCTCAAATGATACAAAACCATGGGGGCTTTCCTCAGTGAGCTAGAAGAGGAGTGAAAGTAGAGGCTGTTATGATTCTGCATGTAACCAGAGTGCTATGCTGAGTGACTATATATTAGGTTCCTAGAGCAACTTGGGGTCAGGGAGGGAAAGATGAATTGAAGGTAAGCAAGCAAAGAACTTGTCTCATTCTAGTAATTAAACAAGATATTGCCATCCATTTTGAAGTTATTATGTTTATATGTGTCTTTTGAAAAATAATTGGCTTTGATAGCCATCCCATTTTCATTTGTTTCCTCTGCTATGGGGGTTTGAACTCAGGGCGTCGAACTTGTTTTCTGGGCAGGCACTGAACCACTTGAGTCATGCCTCCTACCTGGTGTTTTGCTGGCTATTGTGAAGGTAGAATTTTTCTGATTTTTCTGCCCCAGCTGGCTTCAAACCTCATTCCTATGGGTCTCAACATTCAGAGTTGCTAGGATTATAGGTGGGAGCCACCAGTGCTTGGCTATGCTTTCTGTTTTGTCTTTATTATATTCAGATTCTTCATGCTAGTTTTCTAGGTTGATTAAATCAATATAATAGTAAGTTTAATTCTTTAAGTTTGTGGGAAATCATCTGACTTGGTTTTGAGTCACAGACTCCTCAGTAAGATGGGGAGGTTTGGGATGGGAAGAAATGTCTAATTGTTTCCACAAATTGCCTGGAGGATTTCTATTGAGAGTGATAGATTGAACTGGAGAAAAATAAAAAGTAATATTACAACAAATAAACTAGGACCAGATTGTTTCCTTCATTCTTAAATGATGAAGTATTTCAGACATAAAAAGGTGATGCATTGCATATGTATATAACAGCAAATAAGATGAAAGCAAGCATTGAATAACTGTCACACAGTGTAAGCAGAATATTTCCAGAAGCTATGTATTTCCTGCCCTCTCTTAATAACAGTTCCCTATTTCTTCTATTTCTGCTCTAAAGGTCATACTTATTCTGACTGTGTTAAACTTAAAATCATTTTTAAAATATCTTTGGCAAGCCAGGCTCTGGTGGCTCACGCCTGTAATCCTAGCTACTCAGAAGGCTGAGATCTGAGGATCACAGTTCAAAGTCAGCCAGGGCAGGAAAGCCTGTGAAACTCTTATCTCCAATAAACCACTCAGAAAACAGGCAGTGGTGCTGTAGTTCAAGTGGTAGAACACTAGCTTTGAGCCAAAGAACTGAGGGACAGCACCCAGGGCCCACAACCAACCAAAAGAAGAAAAAATTATTTGGCAATATTAAGATTTGAACTCAAGGCTTCACACTTGCCAGGCTGGTGTTCTACCACTTGAGCCATGCCCCTAGCTCTTTTAGCTGTGGTTATTTTGGGGATAAGGTCTCACTTTTTCCCTGGAATTGCCTGAATCTCAATCTCCAATTTATACTTTCCATATAGCAGGTGCATGATACTGTGCCCAGCTTTTTCTGTCAGAATGGGGTTTCACAAACTTCTTTTGACTGACTTCTTTCTGACCTGCAACTCCTGAGTAG